TTTCCCTACTAAGTTTGTTGACTATATATGCGTGAGTCTATTTCTGGGCTCTTTTTTCTGTTCAATTATTCTTTTCGTTTCTTTTAAAAATTTTTTTATTTTTAAACAATTTTTAAAGGTTATTTTCCATTTGCAGTTATTACAAAATATTGGTTATATTCCCTGTGTTGTACAATACATCCTTTGAGCTTATCTTACAACCAATAGTTTGTACCTCCCACTACCCCACCCCTATATTCTGTCTATTCTTGAACCAATACTACACTATCTCAATTACTGTAGCTTTACAGTATATATATATATATATATATATATATATATATGTATATATATATATGTATGTATGTATATATATATATGGTGGCCCAAGTCCCCTGGCTTTTTGTTCTTCAAGACTGTCTTAGCTACTCTTGCATTCCCATATACATTTTAGATTTAGCTTGTCAATTTCTGCACAAGCACAAAAACAACAATGTAGGGATTCTGACTGGGACTGTACTGAATCTATGTCATTTGGGGGGAGGATTAATAACATATCAGGTCTTTCAGTAAATTAATATAATTAAATATTTATAATTATTTATAATTTATTATATTTATAATGGTATGTCCTTCCATTTATTTAGATCTTTTAAATTTCTCTCAGAAATGTTTAGTGGGTTGTTAGCAGTTAATTTCTATATAGAAATCAAAATGGCTTTTGTATGTATACAGACTTGTATTGAGTGACCTCGCTAATTTCACTGTTAGCAATACATCTTCCCCCAACCCCTAGTGATTCCAAGACTTCAAAAAACAAAAGGAAAGCCTCAGAAAAAGTTCAGATACTCCAGTTCTATAGGTGCAAGTATAGTCACTTTATTTACTTATTGTTTGGCCACACTGCATGGCTTGCAGGTTCCTAGTTTCCCAACCAGGGATTAAACCCAGGCCATGGCAGTGAAAGCACCTAGCCCTAACCACTGGACCTCCAGGGAATTCCCGCAAGTATACTCACTTTAATCTGGCATGCAAACAATTACAAAATTATATAATCAGCATATTCAGGTTGGGATAGCTATTCTACTGGAGAAATGAAAACATATGCTGAGACTTACATATAATAGCCCCAAACTGAAAATAACCCTAATCTCCACTAACAGGAGAAAGGATAAACAAATTATGGTATATCCATCCAACCCTACAATGTGGAATACTACTCACCAACAACATGGTTGAATCTCAAAAACATTGCAGTGAGTGAATGAAATCAGATACAAAAGAATGTATGTTCTTCCATTCACATAAAGTTTAAAAATAGACACAACTAATCTATCATAATAGAAATCAGAACAGTGGTTGCCTATACGGGATGGGAATTGACTGGAAGGGGGCACAAGGTGATGGAAATTTCTATAGCTTGAATGCAATATTGGTTACTTGGGTTTATGCATTTGTCAAAACTCATCAAATGGTATGCTTAGTATCTTTGCACTTCACTACACAAAATTTTCCTCAATTAAAATCAAAACAGAGATGCTCTGGCCCCAGTCCAAAACTAATTGAATCAGAATCTGTATGAGGAAGGCCTATGATATATACCTACTGCTGAGAAGGAACACTGGTCTAGATTACTATCAATTCTTTCATCAGGACTAGCTAACTTTTCCTATAAGGAACTAATCAGTAAATATTTTAGGTTGTGTGGGTCATATGATCTCAGCTAGAACTACTCAACTCTTGAGGTTGCAGTGCACCCATGGACAATATGTAAATGAATGGACATGGCCATGTGCTCATTAAAAAATGAGCAGCAGACTGCAGTCAGCCAACCCTTGCTTTGGATGGTCATGCTGTAAGTTCCAAATCCATCTCTTCACAAGACTATTATGAGACATCCTGGCATGCCTGGAAAGTATTTCAAATTCTGACTGTACTGCTTTCTAGTTGGGAAGTATGGACTTAGTATCTCCAAACTTCAGTTGCCTCATTTGCAAAATGGGCGTAATAGCTGTCCTAAAGTACTGTGATAATTAGATATATATATATATAAAGCAGCTAGCATAGTGCCTAGTACACTTTAGGCTCTTACACATGGTAGCTATCATTATTGTAGATGTTACAAATGTCAAAATGTGTTGTTAACCCACTGCACTATCTCCATCTACTCAACAGTCAGAAATGTCCCCACTGCCAGCTGCCAAGGTCTGGCCCTACCTACAGCTCCTTTACCGCAACTACATATCCCAGATGAGTCCCTTTAATTGGTCTACTCCCCCAAACAAACCCTCTGAGTCTTTGTCTCTACTGTTCCCTTAATCTGGCATTGCCCCTTGACCCCTCCACAGCTAAAAATGCTTCACTCTAAAGTCAAGGTTATAATCCGTGTCCCATACAAAGTGCTACACAAAAGTGCTACCCACCTAAACACCCCCAGCTTCCCTGACATCCTAGATTGAAATATTTCAGCATTCATTTTCTATATCACTTACCCTGCATGTATCAATCATTGCTTGCTGTCTACTGCAACTCTCTTCAACCTCATTATAAGTTATTGGAGGGCAGAAATGATGCTTTATACATCTTTGTATTTCCCTTAATGTCAAGTCTATATATAAACACTCTATGTATTTTTGAAGTGACTGACTCATGGATGCTGAAATTCAAGGGAGTCATATTACAGTAATGTCTTGCACAAAACTTCTGGGCAAATATACTGTGGGAAACTACATACCTTTTGTAACAGTTGCTGGAGCAGAGCTGGGGACAACTGGAGTTGGGGCAGCTACAGGCAGAATGGCAGGCGATTTGTTGGTAGGAAATGACTGAACCACTAACAGGCAAAAAAGGAGGGGAGGATATAAGAAATATAGAAATTATTTTAATGAAAATGATCTAACTCCCAGGTGGTAGCCCCTCTGTAGGCTACTAGCACAAAAACAATTTCAGTACAACAGATATGGTCCTTTTTTTATACAGTGATTGACAAGGTGGCTGTTTACTATTAGTACCAGGGTAAATGAGCTGGTATCTTCAACTGTGGAAATGGGGGCTTGTCACTAAACTCAGAAAATAAAAATCCAATTAACCTGCACTCATAAATGCTTAAAATGTAACCCCCCTACTCAACTTAAGAAATGGGCAGTTATTTAGAAGTCAGTGGATCATTTGGGTTTTACTTTCAGTCCTAGAGGTGGTGCCAAGGAGTATGGTGACAGCTCAAGGGCAGGCTAAAAAAGGGAGGAGCGGCCACCAAGTGACGGAATACAGACTTTCCCACCAGACAGACCCAGAGACAACCACACCCACAGGTGAAGAACTCACCTTTATTCACAGGCATCAGTATAGTCTGCACACCTCCAGATGTGTTTACACTGAGTGGTTTGAGCTGGCTGGGGATTGTCAGGACAGCCTGCTGGGGATTGGACTGACTGGAATGAATCTTTAACAATCCTAAAATAAGTTGGAAGATAAAGCCAAGCTGAAGATCAGATGCTTCCTTGAAGTTCATGCCCTCTTCAGCATTCATATTTTCTCACAGGAGGACATTCTTAGGACATTTACCCTTGCAATAAAGAAAGAGCTGGAAGCATGAGGCAATGGATGCAGCTGATTTCTCAATGAAGCAATGATGCAACAATAATGATTTATTTTTACCCTGCTATCATAAAGTAATACAAAAATTTTTGGAAAAGTGGGAATAATAGAAAAGAGAGAAGTCACCCAGAGTCCCACTGCAGAGACAACCAGTATCATCATTCTGAGATAGTTCTTTTCCATGTTTGTTTTTTATGACAATTTATTTGTTTTGCATATAGCTGTGATATGTACAAACTGGATGTAAAATTTTGTATTTTGATTTGGATAACTGTCATTTTCCTACTTAAAAACCTTCTCTGGCTCTGGACTGCCTAGAGAATGTTTCCAAAATTAGTCAAAGCATTGAGTCTTTTTTTTTTTTCGGCGGTACACGGGCCTCTCACTGTTGTGGCCTCTCCCATTGCAGAGCACAGGCTCCGGACGCGCAGGCTCAGCGGCCATGGCTCACGGGCCCAGCCGCTCCGCGGCATGTGGGATCTTTCCGGACCGGGGCACGAACCCGTGTCCCCTGCATCGGCAGGCAGACTCTCAACCACTGCGCCACCAGGGAAGCCCCCAGAGTCCATTTTAATCTGGTCCTAATTTATCTGCATCTTCTTTACAACAACCTTTACATATCTAATACTTCAGTCTGTTTACTCACCATATCTTATAATTTCCTATCTCTGTGCAGCCTTTATTTTTCAAACCAGATATTCTCCACCTATTTTAGAAAGAGTCATCCTCTCCCACTTGGCTTTAAAAGAATTTCCATACTCCCATTTCCATTATAAAACTATTCTAGACATTCAGAAGGCCAGTAAAACAGTGACAAAAAGAGAGTACACAAGATACAACACAAACACATATTATAACAACTACTTTAAAACAGCGACAGACAGGACTTCCCTGGTGGCGCAGTGGTTGAGATTCCGATCTCCAAATGCAGGGGGCCCGGGTTTGATCCCTGGTCGGGGAGCTAGATCCCACATGTATGCTGCAGCTAGGATTTCGCATTATGCAACCAAGGAGCCTGCCTGCTGCAACTAAGACCTGATGCAGACAAATTAATTAATTAATTAATTAAATATTAAAAACAAAAACAAAAAACAGCGACAGAGGCTAAAGATACTTTAAGGCGCTGGAATGCAGTTAGCTTGAGTTAAGAAAAGGAATAGTCTTGGGCTTCCCTGGTGGCGCAGTGGTTGAGAGTCCGCCTGCCGATGCAAGGGACACGGGTTCGTGCCCTGGGTCCGGGAAGGTCCCACATGCTGCGGAGCGGCTGGGCCCGTGAGCCATGGCCGCTGAGCCTGCCTCCGCAACGGGAGAGGCCACAACAGTGAGAGGCCCGTGTACCAAAAAAACAAAAAAACAAAGCCTTAAATAAACAAGAAAATCGTTCTTTGGAATAGATGAATGTTAGATCAGTCAAGTAGTAATTACTTAACTGAGATGTGCCCTCCAAGAACCCGGTTTCTTCGTATTTTTAAAATTCTTATTTCTATCAAAACATTACATGCTCATCAGTTGAAAAGTTAAAAAGTGCTAAAAGGCATATAAGTAAAAATAGCCATCCTCTGCTCCAACTCCCTGTCTTCATCTGGTTCCCCAGTAGCATACACTTTTAACCCTTTGGTGTTTTAATATTTATCTCAGCATTTTTTAAAAGAATGTGTATATTGCAGGCCTTGATTCATTTTGATGTTACACATTGACTTACTATTAAGGTAGATAAGCATTGTAAGGCATTTATACCTGCTCTTTCCTCTCCTCCAATATTGGTCTCTATCGATCCAAAGAATATCATGATGCTATGACTCGATCTCATTTTCTGGAGTTAACAATTTCCTTCTTTTTCATTTGCTTATTTAGTTCTCCTTCAACATCTTACTAAAGTCTTCCCATGCCCTTCAAAAACGCTATAAATCACCCTTTATACAGCTCTCCACATGGTCAAACCTCCTAAATAATTTACAGTTCCATTTTTAAAATAAGAGCTATCCTTCCTGGGACTCTCTGATATGCTCCAATTTGGACTGTTGCTTTCTAGGCCTGCTGCTAAGCCTTCATTCGGGGAGCACACTTTCACAGTTACCCTGGGAATTCCCTTTGCCTTCCTCTCTATTTTTGTCCTCTTTCTTGGTTTACACCTCTTGACTCTGGTGAAACATGTATTTTAGTTATGTTTTGAGACAAGGTCATAGAAAATACATTTGAAATGTTGTCTGTCAGAAAATATTTCTACCCTCATACTCAGTAAAGATCTGGCCAACTACAGAATTCTAGACTACAAGAATTCCCTCCTAGAATTTTGAAAAGCAATATTCTAGCTTCCAGCACTGCTACTGAGAAGCCTAATGATAATGTAATTTCTAAACTTTTCTGTTTATTTTTCTGACAGCTTTTCAGATCTTCTCCTTGTCACTGGTGTTCTGATTTCATGAACAAACTGTGCCTTCATGTGAGCCATCTTTCACTCACTGTGCTGGACACTGTGCATCTTGAACCTGGAAGTTCATGCCCTTCAATTTGGGGATAAACTGTTTCATTTCTTGGATCATTTCTTTCCCATTATTTTCTGTTTTCTTTCTGGAACTCCGTTTAGTCTCATGTTGCCAGGGCTCCCTAATACATCATCAAAGTTTCTTTCTTAGTGTCTACTTCTTGGTCTATTCCCCTGCTTCCACCTTGTGCCCCATAGTTTAGTCTAAATGCTGTAGCCAGTGACTTGTTAAAAGGAAAAGGCAGCTCGTGTTACTCCTTAGCTGAAGACCCCCCAATGGGTTCTCCTGAAGTAAAAATCAATGTTCTTACAGTGACCTACAAAGGCCCTATGTGATTTGCCCCACCACT